ACCTCCAGCAGAACCGGGCTCAGAGTGAGCGGGCATCTGCTGAGGCTAACTGGGGTTAAAGGAGACACAAGCAGAGACACAAAAAGCAGCTGGAAAAGGCGACCACGTCCAGGAAGCACACAGCCAGGCAGATGAGCTCCGAGCCAGCTCCCATGCCAGAGGATGAAGAGAGCACATCCAGCCAGTCACGGTCAGAGAAACAGGACCACACTGGAAAACAGGCCAATCTCCAGCATCTATAAACAAGGGTGTTGATGGAAGCAGCACAGCTGATGTTTCTCTCCAGGATGGAGTCACAGCCAAACAATTTTCCATTATATTCAAGCAAACTTAAGTTAGTCTGTGTTGCCCCCTTGTGCTTGTTTCCTTTCCCCTTGACTTCCTTCTAGTTAGTTCCACTCACACCTGCTCCGTATTTAGCTCATTAGCCCATCCCCCATACTCCACCTCTGCAGTCACTCAGTCCTGGGTCCTTGTTGTTTGTTGCTTCCTCATCTCTGGCTCAGTTAGCTGTATCTTTAAGGCCATTTTTCTGCAGGAAAATGAACTTCAGCTCTATTCTCTTATATGGCCTCTCACGGGTGTTTTGGTATTTCTTTTTTTATTTCCAATAATTTTCCTGTTAATTCTTAAAATGGCAAATAAAAGAGTCCTGATACCAAAACTCTGCTAACAACAGTTTTTGTGTTTACCACATCTTCATTGTGTGCACAGGAAATCCGTTTCTTGCCACACATTGCCTTTTGTTTGTGAGCCAAAAGGCAATCTCTGATAATAACGGGTAAAGCCAGGTTTTTCAAACATGAGTCAACCCACTGAAAATCTGCATCTGGCTCCCTTCCCATTGGCAAAAAAAATTGTATCTAACCCCTACCTACAAAGCTGTGTGACCACTGTCCCCCCACGGTTGCATGTGTGGTGAGGCCATAATGCATGGTTAGCGCTGATGATGAGTACAACAGAAATCAGGAAAGTAAACAATGGAGAGCAACATGTAAGGAAGCCAGGGTTTATTGTTTCGCTCTTTTATCTGCCTGTTTCACTCTTTTATCTGTTTATTGAATGTAAACAGAGTAGTTTCAGCTTGTAAGATCAGAAGCGACTGGTGACATGTGTTGACATCCGTAGTTTAGGCTCAATGGTGTCACATCATTTACTGGGCCCATCTGGTTCTGGTGATCTGACAGCATGCCTTTAAGAGCCGAGGCAATTTTAATGCAGGTGGCTTGCTGAGTCGTTTGACCTGGGTAGACATGCGTCATAGAGCTGTTCCCACTGCCACTAAAAGCCGATTTTTCTGGGGTTTAAATTGTTTTTTTGGCCAGTGGGAAAGGGGTTCAGTTTTGCTCTGATTTGACCAAAGGATCTTTTTTAATGTCTGTGTGTTAGAAAATTTCAGATGGAGCTTTGTGTTTTGGTAGGTTTGCTTTTGTTCTCTTTGTGTTCAGATGATGGATTCTTAGATCTCATTGAGACGTTCAAACATCGGGATGTTGTTTTTAAACCTAACCCTGCTTTAACCTTCTCCACCACTTTCTTCATGACTTGTCTACTGTTTTTATTAGTCTTCATGATGATGTTTATTCACTAATGTCATCTAGAAAAAAAGGGAAGCTTCTTGTTGTCATATTTCTTACTGAACTAAAGTAATAACATTCAGTGATGGAGTGTATATTAACTCACTTTGGACTCCATTAGAGCAGGGGACGGATCTTTGCGCAGCATTAGGACATAGTTAAAGCTTCACCAGTGTGGAGGGGCCACAGTATAAAGACAATGGTGCAAGCTCTCTTTCTTTATGTTTTTATGCTTTTAATAAGCTGTTAGAGTAAACAGGAGTCGTTTATATAAAGCAAGTATATGTTTGTGTTGAATTTATAGCTCTCTATTTACTGCAATTTGCACTGCTGCTACTGCACTAATAATACAAGTCAGTTAAGTTTAAAGTCTTTTTTAACACTGTTCTTTATTGATATTATTTATTTTTACAGAAATAATTTTACACTGATACAATATAAATGTATTTTGTCTGTGATACTTTTATCACTCTGTGGTTTTTAGAAATTGCATTATTTTCTAAAAGGTTCAACATTGTTGTGTTTTATTATAGAAATAATTCTGTTTTTCTCTAGTAAGGTTTAACTTTTCTTTCTCTTCATACCACTCTGCCTCTTCCAGCTCCACTGCTGCGCAGACATGAAGAACAACAGCAGCGGCTCTTATTTTCACTTAGCCCTTTTTACAGATATGGGTAGTTTAAAATATCTTTACTTCAGCCTTTGTCTTCTCATCTACCTGATTATTACCTGTGCTAATGTTGTCATTATCCTGACTGTGGTTCTGGAGCGGTCCCTTCATCAACCCATGTATGTTTTCATCTGCTGCCTGTCTTTAAACTCCCTGCGTGGCTCAGCTGGCTTCTTCCCCAGGTTTTTAGCTGATCTTCTGTCTGACACTCACTTCATATCCCGCTCCTCTTGCTTCATCCAAGTGTTTGTTTTGTACACTTACGCTACTTGTGAAATGGCCATTCTCAGCATCATGGCCTATGATAGGTTTGTGGCTATCTGCCAGCCTTTACACTACGGCAGCAGAATGACATTCAGGATGGTGCTGAATCTCATTGTCCTGGCCGAACTCTATCCCTCCTTCATATGCATCTGCTGCCTTTCCCTAACAGTCCGACTTCCTCTGTGTGGGATCAAGCTACAGAGGTTTTTCTGCACCAACTGGCCTCTGGTGCAGCTGTCCTGTGTGGACACTAGTGTGAATAACATAGCAGGTCTGTTAGCAACCGTAGCAACCATCTTCATCCCCCTGTTGTTTGTTCTCTACACCTACCTGCGTATTCTGCTCGTGTCCAGGAGGAGCTTGCATGAGCAGAAGGGGAAAGTGCTGCAGACCTGCATGCCCCACATCGTGACGTGTGTCAACTATTCAGTTTCCCTTGCCGGTGAGATTTTACTGAATCGGTTAAGAGAGGACCAAATTAATCCGTTAATCAATGTTTTTCTGTCTTTGGGGTTTTTAACCATCCCCCCCATCGTTAACCCTCTGGTTTATGGACTGAAGCTGCCTCAGATCAGGGTGGTGGTCTTTAGGTATTTTCATAGGGCTCTTAAGAGGTCAAGCAAAGCAGACATGTTATTTACATGGTATGTACAATAGACACATTGTTTACACTCCTGATCAAAATGATACACCTTAATAAATAGTTTTCTCAGATTTTTGCTTTTAAAGGCTTCTTAAATTTTACGGAACAGTTGATTGAAAGCCTATTTATTAAAATGGTTAGCTTTGTTGAATTGCTTGTTCAGAAGCTTTTGTCTCTTGCTCCCATTTCTTCTTTATTAAGTAGCTTGAAGGTACATAGTCACATTATATGCCATCACCAACAAGACAAAAATCCAGTTGATTTCTTTAAAATAAGGTTATATACTTCAAGCATTTGTCCTAATAGTGTTCTGTTATTTTTGAGCCCGAGATTAACAGACATGGCAACATCATCCTGGTCAATTGTATTTTTATAGTAAAGAAAGACAATGTTTACTAAGAAACTAAGCATAAAAAACTTGAAGGACTAAATGATAAGTACTATAAATAATATGCAAGCAGGACACCGTAATTTGTCGTAATAACTTAGACTTAGACATCTTTTATTGTCCAATAAAATTTCACTTTTTTACAGGTCTCATGACATTTCCATTTGTTAAAGTGCAGCAGTGGTCTAATGTAAACATTGTGGGAGAAAAAACATGGTGCATGGTCAGTTTGATGCAGAATCTGTGACATGATTTAGAGTTTTTTTCAACATTCAGATGTCTGATGGTGGTGGGGAAGAAGCTGTTTTAGAATCTGATGGCTCTGCATCGAATGCTGCGAAGCGTCTTTCCAGAGGGCAGCAGGGATTACAGTCCTAGTCGGGGTGTGAGGGGTCATTGGTGATGTTACGGGCTAGAGACACGCAGCGCTGGGATAAAATGTCTCTGTTTATGGAGGGAGGAGGAGCCCCGATGATCCTCTCTGCTGTTCTCATTACTTTCTTAACCTTCTTCCAATCTGCGGCGCTGCAGCCTCCAACCACAGAGTGAGACAGCTTGTCAGAACGCTCTCTATGGTGCTTCTGTAGAAGGTCGGAAGGATGGATGGGGGCAGGTGGGCTCTCCTCATCCTCCACAGGAAGTACATGTGCATTTGTAAGATTATAACATTAATAATTTGGCAACAGTGAGTTACTGACATGTACATTTCAAAAATGTCAAATAACGTTACTATGTACCTTTGGCTTAAAACCTTTATAAGGTATATTTGTCCAAGGAGGCCATGAGAGCAGCAAAAGCAGAAATTAGCGCATTAGCTTGTAGAGCTGTCAATGTGCACTTTTTCACTGCTTTCCCTTTTATTGTAAAGTTAATGGGAGTTTTCAGTCAAATTCTGTAACACATGCATCATTTGGAATCATAAACCTGAGTATGCATATAATCTATGCTTTATTGTCCATTTATTTCTTGTTGTTACTTTAACTAAGCAAGGCAGGGTTTATAGGATTATTCTCTTGTTGTAAATAACTGTTATATTCAATTCCCAGCCAGCTGTGAATTCATATTATGTTCTGATACTTTAAGATGTTTATTGTTCAACCCAGTATAGGTGGTAAATATCTTATTTAATCAGAAATTATTCGGGCTGTCATATATTAACTAGGAACACACACCCTACTAGCTGTGTATTAGAACAATAAATGAAAGAGTGATTTGAGCTCAAATCATGGTCAAAAAGATAATTTTGCACATACATGAAATAAATTCATCACAACTTCTGTTCAAAATATATATATAAGAGTTTAATAGCAGAAATCATTCAGCTCCAAGTCAAACATATTTCAGTTAAAAACTCTTGACTAAAACTAATGAAACTCAACTAAACTAAGCTACTATGTACATAGAGGAAGGGAAAACATGGTTGGAAACCATATTACAGTTTAAGACAGATTTTGTGTTTGAAAACCAAAGTTTATCTGTAAGAATTTGGGATGTGATCAAATTAGCTTCCTCTAATTTAGAGCAATTGTAATGTTTTCAGACCAACTCACAATGCCATGAGGTGAATAACAAATTATTTGGCTAAATAATGTTTTATTGAATGGTTTGATTAATCAGGAAATAGTTAGCAGCAAATAGACACGAGGATTTCATTAAATGACTCTTGGTCATACTTGGTAATGTAAATGTAATGAGCATATGAGGAACACATGAACACTGTTTAACAGTGTTTAAACACCTAGTGAAATAAAACTTGTCCAAGCTTTAACAACAACTCAAAACATATTACTGTAGCTGTTAGCTTTGTCTTTACCCATCAGTAAACACATGAAATGATCAAAACCATCAAAAGACATGTTCTGTCCCTAATGGTGCCACGCCTGCAAATCTCAGTCCATGTCTGTTTGGAAGGTTGAGTTTCATCCAGCAGCAGCTTAGCACGGCAGGCTAACAGCAAATGGGGGTTTTCTTGTCCCATGCGGCTCACACCGAGGAATCTTCAGGAGACTTTCTCTACCAGTCTGGCTCTGTAAGTTCTCAAACTCAAGAGAATTGGGATGCAAAATGTCTGTTTTGAAGCAGTTTGCTTCTGAAAAGTCAACAATCATGACTTATCCTTTATCATTCTGGATATCTGGGCTTTTTGGTCCGGGGTCTCCATGGTGGTTTGCCTCTTCTGATGTGAACCCCCAGGCAGCTTCATGGAAAAGAATATGAAATCTTGTGTGCTGTGGTCTTCACTGTTCTCAACACAGAGGGGGTTGGCAAGTCACACCTCTGTGTAGGGCCCTATGGAGCACGTTAAGATAAAACAGAGACACTGGTTTCCAATGTCCAAAACCACTATCAGGGCCCATGGCACAAGATATCTCCCTTTTTTATCTCGAAATAGAGATGCAGTTCTTTGTTTTCAGATCAACAAATAGGTCCATAAAGCACAACACAACACACTCTAATAAAAACATATGATTCAAGTTCTTTGATTTTTAACTAAAAATGCTGCTAATACAATGAGATGCAGCAAATAATTCCAGCAATACCTGAACTAATGTTGGTTTCTACTGTTGTGAAACCATGCATCATTATAAAAACCATTAACATCAGCAGTAAATCACCTCTTCATAGTACCGGTGGGTTTGGGGGGATATATTAGGCAGGGAGCAAACAAATAAATCTAAAGGACCTGTAAATTACAGAAGAGAGAAGGGTGTTGAGGAGCTGCCATCCAAATTTCACAGATCTCCAGGTCCAGTCCAGGTTCTGTTTTATATTTTGATCCATGGAGATGCCAGCTGGGTCGGTAACAATAACAATCTGCTGATACATGTCTGGCATGAGAAACAAGGGAACAAATTCAGGGGTGAAATGGAGTCCATCTTAAAGTTTCACAGCTAAAGGAGAACTAACAAACCCCCAGCTTCTTATACCTGTGGGTGCATATTTCTTTTATGTTCAGTAATACGTCCGGCACTGTTTACCACCATCACTGATAACTGTTTGGAAATAATAAAATTTAAGAAAGTCTATTTGAATCTGCATTTTCTTATGGGTTGCTAACTGATGAAATAATAATGCCAGCCATTTTCTATTCATTGAAGTCTCAAATGTCTCCAACAGTAAATACTGGTGTATTTAATAGGTCATCTGGCACATTCAGATAATCTTATTGTCTTTCAACTGAACATATGAGATGCACTGTAGAACAAAATGATGACACATTTTAGACTGCAACAGAACCAGCTGGATACATTTTGAATAATATTTTTTAAAAGTAGATAATTAAAATAAAATGAAAACGGGTTCAAACATAAGGCAGTATTAGGAATATTATGGGCAAACCTTTTGCAATTTGTGCAAAAAATATATGTTTATGCAAAACATTTAAAGACCAAAAAATATTAGAGTCCAAGGTTATTTGCAGTCTTAAAAAATCAGCTGGCGGTTGGATAGAAGCTAAAACAAAGACTCACTGCTCTGCATGTTTCCAAACACTAATAGAACAATGTCTGTAGGCTTGAGAATAGAATAGAATAGAATAGAATAGAATAGAATAGAATAGAATAGAATAGAATAGAATAGAAAATCCCTTTATCTTCCCGCAATGGGGAAATTCTGGTGTTTACAGCAGCAAAAAGATTATAGAAAAAAAATAGCCACACAAATGTGGATGTATAAGAACAACATAATAGTCAAGAGTTTAAAACTAAACAATAAACTACTGTACTGTAAAGTGTTTTAATAATATATTAAAAAGTATAGTGTAGAACCTAAACAGAACTTTTCAGGCAGCAATGACCTGAATGACTGAGCTATGTTTCTCTTTTAGTGTTTTAGCACTTTCACACTAACATTGTAAATAAGAATTTGTTCTAAAAGTTTGTTTATTTAAATAAACATTTTATCATTATCATTACATCAAACTTTAAGGGTGTTAAATATATAATTGGCAATGAAATGGACAGAAGTCAGATCAGATCTCAAGCAGAAGCAGGATAAAAGGAAATAATGAAAAGAGTTCAATCAAAGTTTGTTTCTGGTTTGTTCATACAGGACACAGATGAGCATTAAACTCTAATGCCCAGTAAAATTCTTCTTATTCTTATTGTTTGGTAAGCTAATTTACACAGACAAAAAACAAACTCCAAAACATTTGTTAAGATTTGAAATAATTTAAAGAAAATTCTTATTTTCATTTTTAATAACAAACAGTTTTTTTTACATGCTGTTTGAAATATGGGTTATGTCAGAATCATTGCTATCAGTGTGTTTCTTTTCAATATTATATACAATAACAGGGCTCTGCTAATAATAATCAGTCCACTGTATTGCATTACAGTATGATTTCCTGGATCCATTTGAAAAAAAAAAAAAAGTTTTGCCTCTATTATTGACATTTCTTTAATCAGAACAGAAGTTAGCAAAGCTCACAGAGGGCTGTGATAGATGTGTATTGCCATTGTCAATTTTGCACAGTACAACAAACTTTAAATAAATTTACATTTCAAAGTGCACCATAACCTCTTTTAGAAAATAGGTCTTCTGTTTTTGTGGTATTATCAATATATTTAGCCAGCTCTAATCATTAGTGAAGTTATTAGTACTTTTATTAGGTAGCTTTTGCTTCCATCTTCTGGTTACTGTACGTTATTACAACTACAGATCAAACCTCCCAGAAATAAGAGTTACTTGTTGTATAACAATGTAGATAGTTTGCTTACAGGAAGAAGAAAAAAGGTGTGGAGTTTGAGTTAAGCAAGTATC